TGTTTTGCCATGGAAATCAATTTTGAACAAGCTCTAGTTTTTGCGCTTGCGAGAAGAAGTGTGCCTTCACGGTGGAGACTGTTCTTCAGCAGGCATCCTTGGTTAACTGAGACAATATCAAACTGAAGAAACTCTGTGTGACTTTTAGTAATCAAAAGCAGGCTGAGAATTAAACAGAGCTGTGAAACTGTCAAACACAATGCTTTTATTGACGAGCTAAAGCTACCGATGATCCCTGATCTTGTGTCAGAAGCTCAGCCCCTGTAAACAATGCTGGCCCTGCACCTGTGCTCTTTAATATCTCAATAACGCTCCATAAAACCAGTTTGGCCTATTCTTTGCGCTCATTAAAGTGCCCTCTGCATCTGGAGCACCCGACAATCTCTTTTAATGTGGTCCGCACACAACGCCGAAGAGCTTTCCCCTCAGTTTTAACTGTTTGCTCTAGAGCATGTTTTCTTTCCAAGTATGCGGAGCAATGTGGCACCTTTCAGATATTTTGCAGCCGTAATCTTTAGATAGAGCAGTATTTATTGTCAGACAGCACTCTCTCTCATACTAATAGACAGGGTGGACTTCAAAGGGGGAACACAAATAGACTGGCATTGTCCTGTCTCTATATCCTCTAGAGTTCAAAGGAAGAGTTTTGAATAGCAGTGTTTCCAAAGCCTCTCTTTCAAACCTGCTGGGATGTAAAGCAGGTAACCTGCCATTGATACACAAGAACACACACACTCCCGCACTCGCGTGTATGTTCGTTTGCTAGTAAACGCTTCCTGCGAGCCGCATCTCGTAATCGCGCTGGGATAATAAAGCTGGGAATGAAAGCCTTTTTCTGTAGTATGATTTCACATTTCTTGTAGCTAAACTTTCAGGTTTCAGATGTGGGATGTAGATTTCATTCAAAAATGATTTTGGTTATTTAAAATTGCTATTTGTCTCTGTTTGGTAGCCCTTGTTTGTCCATTTTATGGCATGTTATGTTTGTTGAGTCTGTGCCTTGTTGGGTTTTCACCAGTTCATTAATGCATATATTGGAGTGAGGAGATCTGTGTGTTTGTTGCCAATTGCAACAGTTGTTTATTTTGATTTGATTATGGTTTTCCTGCAATACTGCTGTCAGTCAATTTGATTTAGAGCCTCACATGCCAAAAACTCGATGAAGAAGTAGAAGATGTTGCCTATATTTCGGCTGAATTGTTAGCTGATTACAGTCCACAGAGTGTATCATCTGATGTGTGACATTTTGGTAAGAAGCCAATTTGGCATTTGTTCAGTATATATCTGTCACTAAAGAAGTGGGTTTTCCAAGTATGCGGAGCAATGTGGCACCTTTCAGATATTTTGCAGCCGTAATCTTTAGATAGAGCAGTATTTATTGTCAGACAGCACTCTCTCTCATACTAATAGACAGGGTGGACTTCAAAGGGGGAACACAAATAGACTGGCATTGTCCTGTCTCTATATCCTCTAGAGTTCAAAGGAAGAGTTTTGAATAGCAGTGTTTCCAAAGCCTCTCTTTCAAACCTGCTGGGATGTAAAGCAGGTAACCTGCCATTGATACACAAGAACACACACACTCCCGCACTCGCGTGTATGTTCGTTTGCTAGTAAACGCTTCCTGCGAGCCGCATCTCGTAATCGCGCTAGGATAATAAAGCTGGGAATGAAAGTAAACACTTTATTTTGCCGTCTTTGCTTGCCACTTCTCAGAATAAACAGGTACTTTAGGATATTTGCAGATTAGCTGTGTGCTGCTTTTACGCTGACTGATGTGTGACAGACAGACAGGCATAAGAGCCAAACAGATGTCGGGTACAGGAGTGGGCACCCTCCGTAAAGGCCGATTTAATGAAGAACTTCGGAAAGAGAGCGGGTTAGAGGAGAAAGACAGAAGGAGAGAGAGAGCGAGGTAGCGTAAGATGTAGAAAGAGAAGGGCTGAGAGGGGGAGAAGGAGATAAAAGAGTGAGTGGAGTACGCACATCAAAGACTTGCTAATGATGCTGGATGCCATTAGGGCTTGTAGTGGCCTTTGTTTCGGCTTCCTAACACCTGCAATTTGTTGAGGGCTTTCTATGCCCCGCTGAATTACTCACATTTGCATGAGCACTGAGTGAATACCGGAGGGATAAAAGTGGGAGATTTGGCCCCGCTGCATTTGGACTTGAATGTGGGCTGTGGCCAAATCTCGCCAATGTTCGACATCAGTACTAACTGAGCCATTAGCCAACTGATGTACCAAACTAGTCTTGTGTCTAAAAGATTTACCAAACTAGTCTTAACTTTGTCAATCGATCCGCATGAACTTAAGTGTTTCCTCAACTATGGGCTCTTTTATGTTCCAGGATCTAAAGCAGTTTTGGAAACTTTTCACCATGGCTTTTACTTTTAAAAATGACTTCATGTGGACGTGATTATTGTAGCCAGATTTTTGCTCCTAAAATATGAAAATCATAATATGTTTCTGGAGGGTTATGGCCAGAAAAATAAAGTTCATCGAGATACTTCGCGACGTCACTTTCTTCACCCGCTACAAGCAAAGCCTCGCCGTGGCGCGATCCATAATTTCCAAAAGCTCATCATAACGCCGATTGCCCCCTCGGAGGCATTGCGTGCGTGCTCTTCGCCCAAACAAATAACGCATAGAGCATGTGTGTCATCAGATGTTAAACAACATCAACACAGATGCACACATCCTTAAACGCTTTGCTAGTGCTCGCCATAATGAGATGAATAGCGATCACTCTTACCACAGAAATGCTCGCTACAAACAATATAGTCAATGAAGACGAAGAAGAGAATGATGTGTGCTCCCGGCGCCTATTTATACTATAGTCGCACCGGTAGTGACGTCATGGCTGTCACTGGCCAATGAGTTGGGTTTTTTTCAATGTATGCTTCAGACACGGGTCACAACGAGGCGTTCCCCATAGCGACCCCTAGAGGACGCAGTTCGAAGTTCCCATGAAAGGGAACAGCACCATGTACTCCGCCATGGTTGTGTATGTTTGTTCGCGCTTGCCTTTAAAATCGACACGTACTGCGCATGTCTACAAACCTAACTCGTACTATGCACGCGCATGACGTCACCGTTTTCAAAGGTTCCCGTTTTGGGTGTTTACACGGAAACGACAATGGTGGCGTTTTCAAAAACTTGTACTTTGAAACCCAGTTTTCAAAAAATGTGTGTTTTCAGTCCCCAAAACGCCGTTGTCGTGTAAACAAACAGGCAAAACGCATAAAAAGTTTCCCGTTTTGGCTGAAAACTTTGTGTAAACGGCCCCTAAATTAAATAAAGTATTCTGAGATAAAGTTGATACTTAAGTAAAGCTGAGAACTCAGTTAAGTTTCTCAAAGAGCGTGGTTTTGCAGCTCTATTTTCCTTCAGTCAATGAACAATATCTCTATTTCCAGTTGGCCATCCATTGTTTCATATTAATTTGGCTACAAAACTGTTTGTTGATGTGAAATCTAAATGTTAATTATCTCACTCTCTGTGCTCTGAAATGTTTGATTAATTCAGCAACAAAGAAAGCCTCAATTGTCTCAAAGACAAACGTCTGCACAGGTCTTCAAACCCTACTGAATCTAAAATGAGTAAATATCCATGAACTAGATGTTCTGGCCCCTCCGTCTAATCCGAAACCTCTGATCACGCTCGAGGAAGCCAGACGTGGCCCCAACAATTACCCTGGGCCGGCGGCAACAGAGCGGGTCAGAGCTGCGATGCCACACACAGCGGCGAGCGGGTGTTTAAGGGCCGACCTCTCCCTCATCTCCTGACCCGGGGCCCGTCAGCACACCGCTCCAGCCTGAGCACCGGCAACAGTATCAGATTTCAGGGAAAGATGTTGGAAATTAGCAAGAGCAGAGTCAGGCTACACAGTGTCGAGGGCAGAACACAATGGCAGCTTTCTGTCAGGGAGAGACTTCAAAGGGCCACTGAGTGACTACTCTGAGTTGGACTTTGTTGTAGATCACTGAGGAAATTCACAGATGTTTTCTCATACGAGACACCATTACTGAGGCTCTCGCACCGAGTAGCCCCGAGCATTTCTCTGCCTTTCCATCTCTCCTGCTCTTGTGTGCGAGACAGATGTGGGAACCCCTTTTTTCTTTTTTCAGACTTTTCGCTTTATTTTCTTGTGCTGTCTGTCCAGAGAACATGAAAAGGCTCTGACCTGTCCGAAAGAAGCGCTAAAAAATCAAGAAACTCACTGTTGATGCTTTCATCAAAAACTCACAGACAATGTTGTGATTCTGTCAGAAGACATCCATTACAGTTGCGCGTCACCACCAAACTCTTGTAGATTAGACTGATATTTTACATGTGATTTGATCAAGCTTTTCATTAGCCCTATAAAGCCTACTGTTTCTTGGCATCTAAATTATCAACATCATCAAAACTTTGATGGAAAAGCTTTTGTACAATCTACTACATGCCTTCTGTTGTCTGGTTGATGGTTCAGACTTTTTCAGCAAGTAAAAGGTCATTTAATGTGAAAAACGTCCCCCTTTAGCACGTGTCTTTTTGATGTGAAATCTGTACTGATTTTCATAGAGTTAATGTAAAAATAACCTTTATTTTGTTAATGATATTTCAAGATGAACACTTACTGGACTGAAGTGTCTTAGGTTTATTATTTGATTATCCATGCATTATTATCCATCAAATATGCAACAGGATTTTGAAGAACATATATTTGTTCATCTCTCAATCATTGTATTGCATTCATTATATGTTTTGCCCACAACAATAAAAACTAGAGAGCTAATCATGAAGCTAAGCATTTTAAATGTGATCTTACTAAAACATATTATTAGGAGATGCAGAGTAACAACTGATATTTACACGCATTCTATGTAGTCTGCTATATTTTTATAAAGATCATTGATTTACATGACAAGCTCTCAGAATTTTATATTACACTGTCAAATGTTTGCATTTATGTTTTATGAAATCACTGAAAACTGATCAACCTCTTTTTTTCTTTTACAGATTGCCTTCTCCAGCCTTTTGCTGCAAAATGTGCTGTATATATAAAATAATGAGGGGTAATTATTTATGCATGCGTTATTTTCTCAGTATTTGGATTTATGTATTTATTATGAAAGACAAATGTGCTCTTTATCAGTTTTCTTGTAAAATAAAAAGGGTAAATACATACTGTGGTTAATTATATAAGGACTGTCCATGGCAGACTGTTGAACTGTTAATATTTAAAATAATATGTTGCCAAACAACATGATTAGATGATTGATGGCTGACTCGCTGTGCTTCGTTTGTTACTTTTGTTTTTCCCGTTTGGTCTGAGCTGTTTATGAGCGACAGACCACAGAACAAAGTGTGTACATCCTCTTGAGAGAAAGTGATCAGCTGCTCAATAATGTTCACTTTATTGAAGCAGAGCGTGTAAATGAGCAGGGCTGTAATGTGAGACTAGCTGTTCCACTAACAGTTTAGTACAGATCTTAAATTTGCATCGCTGCTTCTCATGTCGATATTATAAAACTCCCTCTGGTAATCGATTCATTCCAACTACACAAGTTTCAGAAAACATAACATCTGGAAAGTAACACACTGCATGGTCTTGAATGGCATGGTTGTGAGTTGGGGTGAAGTTTCAGCCTTGTACAGTGTTGGTGTTCTCTCTTGACAGCTGTTTTGTATCCTAATCTATTTGAAAATTAAAATAAACAATTTAAAGTTTTAATTGTGTGCTGGCTACTTTTAAAACTCTTGAATAACCTGTATTAAGGTTACCAAAAATTGTAAATACTTTTGAGCCTGTCTGCAGAAATATATTCATATATATATATATGAGATGTTTTAAATAGTATACCATTTACACCTTATAATTGGAGACAACTGTTAAGAAAAATAAACAGAATTGAACTCTATGGACTGCAGGGAAACTGAGATCTCCTCCCGGTGGGAATCCCCCTCCTTCCGCATTACTTTGTGAGAAACCTTAATCCCATCAAAAGAGCTGATCTGCTTCGACATCAACCACTCCAAACTGCTGGAAAGGGACCGTTTAAAAAGTCATAGATTAGACACATCTCTCTGTAGGTGTTTACTTGTCTTGTTTTACTGCTCACATTTGAAGCTGCACTGATATGACTGTTTACTTGCTCCTAAACTCCTAAACACATGCTACTTTGAAGCACTTGTGGTTTTTAGCACTCCTTGATTCCTGTGATATTTGTGGAGGTGTCACATGTGCTACAGACTGGGTTTCACTGAAGGCTTGGCTGGTTCGGGGCGGAGCAGAGGGAGGAGAACTGGAAAATGCTCAGACTTTCTCAAAGATTGGATCTCCTCCTCTTGCCAGCCTGCAAATCACACAACTAAGACATTATCACCATCATGTCAACTTGACGGGTTCACGTGGACTTTCCCAGGGTGCTGCGGGATTGTTCTTTAATAAATGATTGAACTATGAAACAATAAGCAGTCGCTTGTTCTCTTTGGTCTTTAATCACAAGCAATTAGTGCAACCAAAGGAAAAGTGCTTTGAGAGCTGCTTTGCTGATTTGTGCCAGAAACAACCGGATCATACTTTTATTATTTGTTAAAAACCATCTGTGGGAAATTTGTAGCCTGCTTTGGTTGGCATTAAATCTGTTGATCAAAGTCATGTGTGTTTCAGACATATTCCATGGTTCATTATTACTGTTGTAGCTAAATTAATGTGGTATTTAAAGTGGACAACTTCTAATTATTACATAAAATATCAACACCAGATTCCAACTCTTCTATTAATTCTTCCTATTTCAGTTGCACAATTTTAATGTCTACATTACTGTGTTTATATAATGCATACGATATCAGCATATTTTATCACATGTTCTATTATGAATAACTGCTAATATGGCATGTTCGCTGTGATTTTTGGAGTAAGCCAGACTCCCTGGGTAACTAATGAAGCCAATACTCTTCAGAAAAGCTACGTGTGAACTTTCTACTGAGTCAAATGATTCCTTCCTCTTGAAGTTATCTCATAAGCCTGCACCAGATCTCTAGAGATAACACACAGTCGCATTGTCGCACAACAAATCCTTAATTACAGAAAGGGGGATCGGGTGACTCCGGCATCCAATAGCGGGGTCTCCAGGCGGCGAGGGGCTCTTTGATCAAGAAAATCCAATTATTTGTGTATATACATTTCCCACATAGTGATTACTTCATTAATTGTCCCGCCTTTATCCCCTCCCGTCCCATTACAATCTGTGTGACTAAGTAGAAAATAGAATATCAGTACTGTGGCGTTCAAATCTGCTCCATCTACGTACAACATATTTCTATGCAGATTTTGATGTGCTCACACTCCTGATGTTGTTTTTGCTGGACTGAAATCAAGTCATTGAGTTAAATGTATCCTCAGTCTGTGCATTTGGATTTTTACTAGTGGTTTCTGGCAATTCACTCTAAATGGGAGTATTGTAGCTCTAATTAATTCTCTGTCTGAATTAAACTGAAAATGTTGCACGTTTTGTACAGTAAAAGACAGAACACCCATACAAATGTTGTATTATTATTAAGTGAGGTTTCTACCGACAGTTTCTATTATCTTGCATAAAACCAGCATTGCTAAAACAAATTAGGATATATTAAGGATTTTTGGCATCTATGAAGATGCTCAGTTCCTCCTGCAATAGCGCCTCCATTGGTAAAATCCTGGCACAAATCACTAAACCCTTCTCTAATGTGTGCCCACTTACCTGGGTTTAGAGGATCTAGCTATACTACTTGTTATAGCTATACTAATCAGGGTTAGTCTCTTAAGTCTCTAAAGAAGTGCAAATACAGCAACACCCTAACTAGTGCCATACTGCTTTTATGATTTGACCTGCAAATATAATTGTTACAGCTCTACTGTAAATAGTGAAATGCATTAATATTCTATGAAAACATAATTATTTTCCTGTTAGACATGTTAGACATTATTTTCCTCTTAGACACTCTGTAGGCCTACAATAAAATTATATACATAAAACCTCTTTCTCACTGAAGACATGCACTGGATAAAAGCGTCTGCTAAATGCAGAAATGTACATTGAATCAAAGTTAAAGTTTATGACAGTTGGGTGTTTTGTTTAGGGGGGGGGGGGATTATAACCCCTCATAACCACTTCAGGAAACTCATAATTCTAGGCTCCTAATACCAATCATGCAATCGTGTACTGGATCTTTATCTATAAAGATGAATGACCTCAATATTTTTACAGCCACATTCTGAATTAAGTAAAGGAGAGAAGCCCTACTTACTGTGTTCACAAATTAATCCTACAACAAATTTAACTTTATTATTACAATAGTTTATTCATATATACTTCTGTCATAATGAATAGTGATTTTCTCAACACGCAGCTGTTTATTGAATTATTATTCAGACATGCATAGTCATCTCTTCACATTCATTCATGTTTTCAGCAGGTACTTTCTTACAAGAGTGACATAAAAACACATGATCGGTAAGTTAGGCCTTAAACATCATGAGAGGCCCATACAAAGTAGCCAACAATTCGCTAAAGCACGAAATAGATACGAATTGCCGTATGAGTGTGTTGGAATTTGCTTACAATAGACAATTAATCATGTTGCTACTGAACTCACACGTTGCCACGATGAATCCCAAAATACAAGACAAAAGAAAGCAGGGTATTTGTAATGCAATCTTGACTCACAAAATAAAGTGTCATGTGCTTTAGTAGATGTGACGGGTGTCGTGCTATAGACTGAATAATAACTCAAATGACTCAAAATGTCCCATTATGAAGTTAAAAACCAATTACTGAAGGCTCTGCGCATGTGCCTTTTCAGGTACTGAGTCTCAATGTGCCACTGCAGCAGCAAGCAGTGACTGCATAGGGCAGACAAGGCTGTTCCTCTCCTTCAGAGAGTGAGATATGGTCAGGCTATCACAACAGCACATGTGGCTTTGCACGGAGGGACTGCTGGAGGGAGTTTGTGTTTAAGCCTCACCGTGACCTGATCTGAATGCCACACTCTGATCTTCCTTTGATGTCAGTCTGTTGAAAGTCTGGCAGAATCAGGCGTTTAGACACACATACTTAAGCATGCATACTTCAAATCTAACGTGTGTTTTTTTTTTCTTTTTTTTTTTTTTGAGTATTAACTTGGAAAAAAATACAAATATATAATAAACCCAGGCCTAGCTGAGCATCAAAGGTTGTTTGGGGTGTGTTTAAGAGCAACACTTCTGGTCTGTGTCAAACCATTTATGCATTTCACACCTCTCACCTCAGCCTCACCTAAGTATCCCATGGTACTTTTTTTTTTTTTTACAAAACAACACATTGATTTTGTTAAAC